AAAAAAAACGATTTTGTAGGGAAAGTATCAAGCTTTCACGATAGGTAATCGAAAATTTTCTCAAATTCGTTTTGGACACGTTACAAATCCACAAAGTGAGAAGAAAATTTTTCGTCTTTTTCAGCTCGTAGTTTTTGGTATGTCAAAATTATCAAACTCATATAAACTTAAAAAATGTGATAAGCTTTTAAAAGTAGAGATTCCTAGCTTTAAAACCCTTTTTTTAAATTTGAATTTCATTCATTATTGACGAAGATATTGTATATACAACTTTGAGCTAAAAAATACACGATGACTTTTTACTTAACCTAATATATCTATGAAGTGTGAAACTTCTTTATTCACTAAAACGCGCTTACATGTTTCGGCTCACTTTTGAGTTCTCCTCAGAGACAACACAAATTAACATAAATAAACTGTGAATAAAAATTATCCTATCATGGTGAGCTCCCCTATCTCAAGAATTTAAATACTAGAATTAAACGCCAAAAAGAGTGAAAGAAAAAGAAAAAAGAAAAATGAATGAAAAAAAGGAAATAATAGAAATATCGAAATAGAGAATATGAAAAACTAATTTATCCAAAACCTTAAGATTATAATTAATTATCCCGAAAATAAGCACGCTCACCCTGATCACAAATCACAAACTATATCGAAAATATTATGAATTATTCAAAAATCGGTTCTCGATATTTTGTATCAATCACAGTATCAGACACAGTAAGTCATTTTTAGTTATAGCTAGTATTATTGAAGTTTATAAATGAAAAATTTCACATTGAAACTTTAATCAATTTTATGAAAATGAAAGTTGGAAAGTAATCAAAAATCACGCCAGAAAGATTCATTACTGCGTACGAACGACACTGACTGATTAGACGTGACAACAACTCAAGCCTTTATAGCTTGTCTATGATCGGGAGGTAGGCCTTGGGAAGCCCCTTCTTATCCGTCTCACGCAAGTTGAGTCCGTACGTTTGCCTCCTGATGAATATCATCTCTGAAATCAATCTCTTCTTGTAGTGAGTTCTCTCCTTGTCCAATAACATTGTCCCAATCGAAATCACGGCCTTCTTGTAACCGATTCTCCGTTATGACATTACGAGTAGAGGTGTTCCATCTGATGTGGTTCTTATGCTCTGTGATTCTTGACTTCAGCTATCTACACGTCTGTCCCACATAACTTGCATTACAACTCTTATACGAGATCTTATAAACAACATTCGACTTCTTGTCACGCGGCAAAAGGTCTTGTTATCGGCAATTATGTATCCTAATGAATTCTCGCAATTTATTAGTATAATATTATAGAACGATACCCTCATACGCTCGCTATTCAATCTGCTAAACTTCTCAGCAATACCATGAACGAAAGGAACAGTGAACCACCAAAGGCTTCACTGCTTCTACTCCATTATCATTAATAACACTTCCTATTTCTAGCCATAATAATTTTCTTCAAATGATTAATATTCTCAAATATAAAATTCAATGGATAATCATTCTTTTACAATACTTTAATAACGAAACACAAATTATCAAGATAAAATTTAGAATTTAAAAGCAAAACTATCAACTAATCCCGCGATTGTATCTATTTTTTGAGAAACCAGATGCTGTGACCAAAAATTCAAATATGTACTCGAAAAAATCGGCTTGTGGTACAAATTAATTTTATTAACTCATTATTCCTAATCACTGTAACATCCAAAAAATTCAATCTATCATCCCCTACCTCTATAGTGAACTGAAGGATGCTGAGAATTAAAAATATCAAGAATGGAACTATCCGAAGACGCAGGTGTGGCAGATGTCAATAATATGTCGTCAACAAACCTATAGTAATAGGACAAGAGAAACCGAATTAGAGACAAAGCTCTAACCTCCAGCTTTCGCATAACTCCGCGATGACAGGAGATAATGGAGAATCCATAGGAGTCCCGTAGTTCTGCCTATATATAATATAACACTATCAAAAACAAAGAAAGTAGAATCTAAAATAAACTGAATCGCTTTGATGAATTCTTCCTCCGGTAAACAACAATCTCTAGAAATAAATGGTGTATTAAATACAGTGCATCGCATAGTCAACGGGGACGTTAGTAAAGAGGCTCACAACATTCAGTGACATTAACTGAAATTCATCACTCAAACATCTACCATCAACAAGTTCCTTAACAAGTTTAAAACTATTTTCAATTTGTAATTCTGGCATTTAAATTCTCGAGGTAGGGGAGCTCACCATGACAGAATAATTTTTATTCACAGTTTATTTATGTTAGTTTGTGTTGTCTCGGAGGAGGGCTAAAAAATGAGTCGAAATATGTAAGTGAATAAAGAAGTTTCACACTTCATAGATATATTATTTGCGCGACGTCTTCTGCGCTTGATTCCTACTGCTCGTATCCTTTCCAGTTCTTTGATTAAAAATTTAAAAAAATCGTGTTTATTATTATTAAAAATTCAAAAATTAAAAGTAATATTAAAATTAAAAGTAATAATAATATTATAACATACAATAATATTATTATTTAACTCAATAATAATAACTGAACAGAATCCGAACTCTTGAACTGAAATGTAAGTTTAATAACTGCTGATTGTTATGTGTCTTGGGCGCCCTGGTATCGGCCAAGGATTTATATAATATGACCTTCTGTTTTGAATTGCCGGACTAATCTGTATATTGTGCTCCTTTGCAGTATATCAAATATATTTTTTAAAATTTATATTAGATACAATATCACACAAACACATTAAAGAATATCTCACATAATTTAAAAATTTCTGTACATGTCCAGTAGTTGTATATTGCAATATTTCACTATATTTTTTATATTATTCAATTAAATTCAATTATTTTTGTTGAATCCAATTGTTTTTGATATTTACTGTCATTTAATTTGGCAAATAAGTCAATTATAAATAACATAAAAGTGCCCTCTATTCCACAACATATTAGAGGTGAAATATTGGCGTATACAAATACTGGATTAATATATACAGAAATTTCAAGATTATGTAATGTTAATGTAAGATATCCTTTAATGTGTTTGTGTGATGTTATATCTAACATAAATTTAAAGAAATATATTTGATATATTGCAGATATATTTAATATATTGAAGATATTCTGAATAAAATAATATATTAAAATAATATATTAAATAAATGAATAAAATAATATATTAAAGTTATTTATAATATATCAATTATTATTATTTAGTACAATAATTATTTTATTACTTATATTTTTATTATTTTATTACTTTATTTATTTTTATATTATTATTGTTTATATTAATTACTTACTTAGAATCCTAGTATCTTATGCCAACGCAATGACAGTAAAGAATTAAGGAGGTCCATTGCTCTTATTACTCATCGACATTGTAGATAGAAACATATAACTTAATTGAAGCATTACTATAAATTAAAAAAACATAATTAAAATATAAATTATCAGCAAATACAATACCAAGAAATAAATGATTATATTAATAATTTATATAGGAAGTGCAGAAAAATTGCGTCTTATAGCCCGTGATATCGGCAGCAGATGCATAGACGAAAGACTGCGTAAAGTTCTTCTATTTGCCTTGATATCACAGACTCGCTGGAATTGATCGTCTCGACGGAGAAGCGATCAATCGTTGAATTTGTTGCAAAAGCGAATTTGTGTATTATTATTGTGTGTAAAATTTGTGATATCATTATTGAGTTAAATAATAATATTATGTTATACTATTACTTTTTAATTTTTGAATTTTTAATAATAATAAACATGTTATTTTTGAAAATATAAATAAATTTATAAAACAAATTTAGCGTTTACTTTATTATTATTTATCACGATATATTTTATGATATCCGAAGGGTATCTTAAGAATTTTCCGCTGCGCACAAATACATTTTTTCTATTTCACCGTGTACAAAATGATTCTGCATCACTTTGACAGTTATCATAATGATTGCAGCACAGACTCTTGCATAACGCATAATGCATAGTGCATAAGGGAATCAACTAATTGAAATTCTTCTTTTCGATGGAATGGGAGGAAAGGAAAAATTCTGATTAGTTGATTCGCTTATGCACTGTGCGTTATACGTCATGCAAAAGTCTATGCTGCGGCCTTAACACGCATTCTACAATAAGCCAGTAGTCATAAATCAGAAGTTAGAAGCTGGAAATTGACCAATCATAGTCGTCAATTTCCAATTTCTAATTTCTGATTTATAATTAATGGCTTATTGTAGAATGGCATAACCCATCATAACCACTGATTATAGGCGTTCAGAGATGGTGGTCTGCTTTGTCAAAATTTTTGCGCATTTCATAAACCATTGAATTAAAAAGTGTTGCAACTTTTTAGTAACTGACTGTAAACCCTAAAAAAAGTGGACGTTGTTATGTAGTTTACATCCA